GTCTACTACTGCCTGTGCGGGCAGATGGTGCTGGTGCTGGGTGAGCGGCCGGAGGGGGCGGCGGGGCCGGGCCGGGCCGGGCCCCTCAGCGAGAGCGGGGTCGACGCCAGGCCTGGGGCCTGCAGCGCCGCGCGAGGCCCCACTGCTGTGGCAGGGCAGGCTCTTTGGTAGAGGGGGTCTCGGATTAGACCGACTGAGGAGTTGGGGGGAATCTTACAGAGTCGGCTGGTGTGATAATATGGCAGGGCCCTCGCTGTCCGGTGATTGCCAGTGCCGCGCAGTCGTTTTGACGGTGTGACGATTGCTTGGCACGTGTGGCTGGCCTACATTTATTGCGCAGTTCACTCATTAATTGCTTGATATGCATAATATGTGGCGGGGGCTAAAGGCACACGGCAGTGCTGAGGATTAACGGTGTTCAGGGTTTTTACCACCCTTGGCACTTAGTCCTCGTGTTGGGACCCTTTCTTTTCCCCTCCTCTCTGAGAAGATCGCTTCCCAATGCGGTCTTGTGAATCCAGTGGCTGCTTTCTTTTTGATGCTGCCTGGCTAGAGGGGATGGGCAAGAGGGATGCTGTTTGGGGGTCCAGGCACGTTTCAGTAGCTGGACTTGGCTCAGGTTAGTAAACTGCTAAATACTGCACTCACCAGGAGACAGTGGAGAAACCTGATGGAGTAATGTCACTGCCCTGATTATTCTGATGGGTGCAAATGTGTGGCAATGTTTGGTCTTCATAAAGATGAGAAAATGGCCTTCTAACCACTAGACTATTGTTCCTGTCAATGAAGATGAAACTACCTTTACAACCATCTCCATCCTTTGTTCTGCAGACTGTCAACTGGAGAAGCTGCCCATGAGGCCCAGAGACAGAGCTCGAGTGATAGACGCAGCCAAACATGCCCATAAATTCTGTAACACAGAGGAAGAGGAAAATGTTTATCTCAGACGGTACGGGACCCTCTTTTCCTCTATTGGCACCCTTGACCATTTGCGTGATTGTGTGATGCTGCCACTGTTCAGGCTTCAAACTGTTAGATGAAAATAATTCTTCTGAACCAGGAATTTATCACTGGTAGATCTGAGGACAGGAACTGTCGCAGGATCAGATGCTGTTCTTATAGAGGCAGGTAATGTAGGCCCAAGTTTGAGATATCTCAGACACAGAATGGAGCATCCCAGAGAAATTCTAAATCTCCCCTGCTTTGCAGATGGAAAAATTAATTTCTCATCAGCAGATTGGTATACTGAAAAACACAGCTCTAGTCCCTGTTTTGTGACTAGAACAAAACCAGACATGAAACAAACTTCACACCCCGTGTCTTTCTCCTGAAAGTGTGGTCGCAGAGAATAAACTGTAAACGACTTAATAATCTTTTGGTTATTGCAGTATAGATTAAAGGATAGCATAGGCAGACTTTATGCTTTGTTTTAATTTCCTCTGGGATTCCAATAAATTGCTGATTCCAGTAAATGTGACTGGATTTAGTTTTGGTTTTGAATGATGTGGGAATACTGGTATTAAAACATCTTCTGCCATGACTCTACTACACTGTAGATTGAGACGGCAAAGAATTTAGTCAGAAAGAAGAGTGAGGCAAAACCAGACAACATTGGCTACCCATTGGGATGGGTGGTCGCCAACTGCCAGTTGACACTCTCCCCCTCTCCTCCCCACTGCCATCAGCGCTGCTGCCACCTGCGGGAGCTTGCCGTGCCCCACCAGCCTGTAGGGGCACGCGGTATTCATGCCAGACAAGTAGATCTCTTGTCTTCCTCTCTCACATTAGTGATGAAGTCAAGATAGCAAGTTTTTCATGAAGAAAATGTATTGAGCAGGGTCTTAAGGGCGGAGACAAGATATCTTTGCCTTGGTTGTAACACTGCTTCCCTGGTCTACATCTTTGTATTGTTCAGTCTCTCTCACTTTAGTGACACCCCATTAACCATTCTTTCCCAGTCCTGTGTCTGCATGGTGTAGAGTCCAGACTGAAGAAACTGTATATCACCTGACTACAGATCTGCTAAAAAGGCAAAAATGGCAAACAAAGCTGAAACCCCTTATCTGGCTGCAAGTCTGGCCTCCTTTCTGTTTGCCCTGTGGATTTCTAATGCACTCCTCTATTTAGTATCTACACACGTGTCAGATACCTAAACATTTCCCATTTCCCTAAACATTTTCTCTCTTTCTTCCCCAGACCAGAAGGTATTGAGCGGCAGTACAGGAAGAAGTGTGGAAAGTAAGTGACTGCAGAGTAAAAGTTATCAGTACAGTATGGAGAGATCTGGATGTGTATGGTTGTTTGGTATTTGTTTATTGCTTTCCATTGTTAGCCCCATTGCTTAGAAATAACGTTTTTCTTCCTGTAACACATAGTAGGGGTATTAACATTTTGTAACCTTTATCTATGTGCAGTAGCCAGGGCTGTAGTGACAAGACTGGACTCTTTCAGTGTTCCTGGGTATCATGCATTTACTGCACTTCTAACTCTTGCTTTATTAATTTGGTCTCACTGAAAAGGAAGGTGTGGGTCACGTGATAGGAGGGTAAACAAAAACAGTATTCTAAAATGGTCTCAGCCTCAATCTGTGACCCTTCAAGTATAAATTTTTTTTTTCTAATGCTTGGTGTAGATTTAATGTCCTTAGGTTGATGGTTTCATAGTTTCATAGTTGGTAGGGTCGGAAGGGACCTGAACAGATCATCAAGTCCGACCCCCTGCCATGGGCAGGAAAGAATGCTGGGATCAAACGACCCCGGCAAGGTGTCTATCTAGCCTCCTTTGGAAGACCCTCAGGGTAGGGGCAAGCACCACTTCCCTTGGAAGTTGGTTCCAGCTCCTAGCCGCCCTGACTGTGAAGTAACGCCTCCTGATATCTAGCCTGAATCTACTCTCTGTCAACTTATGGCCGTTATTCCTTGTTACTCCCAGTAGTGCTTGGGGGAACAGGGACTCTCCCATTACCTGCTGGTCTCCCTTGGCCAGGTTCAAGATGGCCACCAGATCCCCCTCAGCCTTCTCTTGTGGAGGCTGAAGAGGTTCAGGTCTCGTAGCCTCTCCTCGTAGGGCCTGCCCTGCTACCCCCTAATCATGTGAGTGGCCCTCCTCTGGACCCTCTCGATGTTGTCCACATTCCTCCTGAAGTGCAGCGCCCAGAACTGGATGCTGTACTCCAATTGCGACCTGACCAGTGCCACATAGAGGGGGAGGATCGCCTCCTTGGACCTGCTCATGATGCATCTGTGGATGCATGACAAGGTGTGGTTAGCCTTCCTGACTGTGACCCCACATTGGCGGCCCATATTCATCTTGGAGTCATTATAGACTCCAAGATTCTTTGCTGTCTCTGTGCTGACGAGAAGGGAGCGTTATTTACTTGAAGATCATTTTTGTCCTGTATAGCGCGCAGGTTAATTGGCTGCATGGTCAGTTGACTGGTTTGCAGTGCAGGATGTTTTTGAAAGCCTCTAATCAGGAGGAAAAGACTTCTGTTTTCTCACGAGTAGGTGCACTGCTGTTTTCAGGTGTGGACTGCTGCTCTTTTACCAGCACCAGCAGAAGAACGCCCCAGTTACTTTCATCGTTGATGGAGCCGTTGTCAAGTTTGGCCAGGGCTTTGGGAAAACAAACATATATACTCAGAAACAGGAGCCTCCCAAAAAGGTAATTTGGCTTTGATGAATTACAAAGCTAACCGTGTCTTTCAAAGGGGTGCAGGTGGACCTAGTAAGTCTTTTCCATCTCTGATGCATAGTTTGGGCCTGTGCTCGGTCACTGATGGTCCCTTCTGGTTGTTTGGAAAAGTGGAATTGACTGCAGTAAGTCTTCCTTGGCAGAAGTTTTTAAAGCACAGAAACTTTGAAACTAGAGGGGAGAGAAAGAGGAGTAGGGAGGACTCCCAGCATCTCTCACAACATTGGTCTAAATCACCAAGTGCTTCAGACTGGTTTATGTTTGAATTTTATTTTCCGTCTTCAGCCGCTGTGTTAAACACTGCTTCAAAGCTCTGGGGTCATTGTTGATACAAATACATGCTGAACTAAAGCAGCACCTTTTTTGTTTCCCCTAGGTGATGATGACGAAACGGACCAAAGACATGGGCAAGTTCAGTTCAGTCACAGTTTCCACCATTGATGAAGAAGAGGAGGAGATTGAGGCGGTGAGTTTCCTTTGCCCTGCCAGTGCTGGCAAGTGGTGTCCTGTTGGGGCCTTGAATGCAGCTCCTCCAAAGGTTTCTTGGTTGAATGGCAATACATTCAGAATACTTGTTTATCTATTTAGGCATTTACTCTGTGCTTTTCACTGTGGTATCTGGCTACCTGTACATCACTGGATCCAATAGAAATTCTGCTCTGGGCTCTTACAGCCTACTGGTATTAGTGAGGGGTATCTCTTGTATTCCGGGATAGGCTAAAGGAAAAAAAAAAAACCCTTTATACTATTTTTACGTAATCTCCTCTACTGAGTTAGTATGCAGGAGTTGTTCTCTCAACTCAGCTTGTATATTCTTTGACTTACCTTTCCCTCTGTGCTTTCCAGAGCTGTGTCTTTGCTGCACAGTTACCCTGGACTATGGTCTGAGTGTTACCCCTAAGCTTGCTTCTGTCCATACAGGAAAAACCTCCATCCCTATCTTGAAGGCAGTTTAAGCCTGAGTTAGGAGACATAGCTCTTGTTTCATTTCAGGCTGGGTTGGCATCCCATTCATTCTGAAATAAGAAGACAGGCTAATTAAGTTGGGTTGCTCTTGCTTTTCTGGTTCTGTTGTCTCATTGCACCTAAACTGTACTTTTTCCTCCCTGTTGCTGTGTATTTGGGGTCAAAACCTCTGGAGCATTTGAACAGAGATGCCACCTTCCTTCTAGGCTACCAGGTTGCCAGGTGCTGACACCAGCCTTTGGGAAAAGCTGTGGTGTGTAACCAGTAAGATCCATAATTTGGGGAAAGGTACCCAAATTGACACTTTCCTGTTTAGTGGGCAGGAAAAAAGTGAAAAGACAGAGTAATTGGTCAGGCAGGCTATGAGTCACATTGCCATGTGCAAGCTGGATTCCTAGATATTCTCATGCAGAGTTCTGGCTGTTAGATGCTGTTTGCTTTTGCTGTCAGAACTGGTTGTCTTCATAATGAATAGCTTCACTTTCACTGTCACATCAGCTCCATGCTGAATGAGAATGGCCATTCTGCAGATGAAGTCAGAAGGAGGTCAGGTTTAACTTGTCACTGAGGGACGTGGGATATGACAGCAGAACTCTGGCCCAGGTGCTGGGATGGTTCTGCACAATAGATGCAGTTTGAGGGTATAGAGGTTGTTGACACTGCGGTGTGGAATAGAGGGACCTTGGTAGCATTAGTTCAGGTCTTAGCAGCAGCCCAGCTATGTCTGAGTAGACCTCTGCACAGGCTATACTACCCTGCTGCAAAACAAACAGAAGTATACCTCTGCCTGAGAGAGGCTGTGCATGGGCCTATTCCACCCATGCTAAGCTAGCTTGTGCTGTGCTATTTTGGGCTTGCTCTGCAATGACCTCATTCATTTCCTCCCCTTCCTTGTTGTTCTCCTCCTTTGGTTTGCCTGTTGCAATCCAATTGATTGACTGAAATGAACAAGGCGATTGCTAGCCTGCTTTTCAACAACACAGAATACTTGAGCCTAGACGACCTTCCTGTGAATGGTGATGCTAATAAAAGGGATTTTCTTCATTGTACACATCTTTCCTTGTCCTTTCCTGATGGCATTTTGCCTGTGCCAGCTGGAAAGTGATTACAGGCTGTAAGGATGGTGATGGCAAAGGTGAACATATGTCTCGGATTGGCTGGGGCAGTCCTGGATTTCAGAGGATTGATCATCTCAGGGTGGGGATGCAGAGTGGCAGGAGCTGTGAAATAGTAAACCTTGCTAACACTAATTGTTACTTCACAGGTGTTTGTGAAATAAAGAATACTGGGTCATTAACGGACCATTGACTCCCTGCAGCCTGGGGGGTAGCAGGCTTTCACGTTGTCTCATCTAGTCACCCTAGATCAGGGGTGTCCAACCTTTTTGAATGTGGGGCTGGATCATGAACTTTTTATCACTTAGTGGGCTGGCGAGCCATATTCAGACTACTCAAGGGGGACCAGCAGGCATTGGGAGAGTCCCTGTTCCCCCGAGCACTCCTGGGACTTACACGAAACAACGGACACAAGCTAGCAGAGGGTAGTTTCAGGCTAGACATTAGGAGGTGCTATTTCACTGTCAGGGCGGCTAGGACTTGGAACCAACTTCCAAAAGAAGTGTTGCTGGCTCCTACTCTGGGGGTCTTTAAAAAAAGGCTGGACGAACATCTGGCCGGGGTCATTTGACCCCAGTACTCTTTCCTGCCATGGCAGGGGGTTGGACTAGATGATCTCCTCGGGTCCCTTCCAACCCTACCAACTATGAAAGATCTCACTGGAAGTGGTATCACATCATCCCCCCAAAATGAAAGTACAGTGTTTACTTTCGTTTCCTGTCGCAGCACCTCGGGTCTCAGAAAACAGCTTGGAGGGCCGCATGTTGGACAAGTCTGCCCTAGATAAAGCTAAAGCTGGCCCAATGACTTACATTCTCAT